ATAATTTATGAAATGATTTCACATTCATATTTGTCTGTCTTTATTTTATTTGCTTATATTTATTTTTTTTATGTTTAAGTGCTTTTAATGGCTATATCATCTTTTATATGAGGGGTCGGCTGTCAAACTTTTTCTGCAAAGGTCCCAATGCTAAATATGTTAGGCTTTGCAGGCCACAGGGTCTCTTGCGGCTACATGTACCCAACTCTCCATTGTGAAACAGCCATAGACAATATGTAAACAAATGGGTGTGGCTGGTTTCCAAAAAAACTCGATTTACAAAAAAAGGCCTGCAGCCACTTTGGAGAACAGTTTGGCAGCTCTTCAAAACATAAAAGATAGAGTTACTATCTGTCCCAGAAATTCTACTCCTAGACAGATACCCAAAAGAAATGAAAACATGTCAGTATAAAAACTTGTACATAAATGTCCACAGCAGCATCATTCATAATGGTCAAAAGATGAAAACAACCCACCAACCAATGAACAGATAAGCAAAGTGAAATGTATCCATCCACATAGTGCACTATCATTTGGCGATAAAAAGGAACTACCTTCTGATACATGTTACAATATGGAAGAATCTTGAAAACATTTGCCAAGTGAAACAAGCCAGACACAAAAGTCCCCATAGTTTATTATTCTATTACATAAAATTTCCAGGATAGACAAATCTACAGAGACAGAAAGTTGATTCGTGGTTGCCTAGGGCTCAAGGGAGTGATTGCCAGTGAGTTCCGGGCTTCTTTTTGGGATGATGAAAATGTTGTAAAATTAGATTCTGATGATAGTTACACAACTATATAAACATAATAAAAACCATTGAACTGTACAATTTAAATAGACAAACTTTATGGTATTTAAATTATATCTCCATAGAGCTGTTAAAAAATAAATAGATAAAATGGAGAAACAAACAGGTGAGTGGCCTGTAGGGCCATAGTTTACTCTTTCCTGCTTTATATTTTCAAGGATCCTAACATACTTGTTCAAAGTTATTAACAGATGATTCTATTTTTAAAAAATTTTCTGGATTAAATTCCTCTTTTTGATTGCAAGTTTTAAGGTCTGTCTTTGTTAGTTTTCCTTCTGCTTTTGGGATGTTTATGTTGCCGCTCATCTTGAGTAGAAAGCTTTTATTTCTTTGCTTGTTCTCTTTCTCTGTCTGTCTCTCTCTCTGGCTACCTTTTCCTTTAAAATGGCTGTGTTGTTGCTTCCACTCAGCCTCTGTGGCTCTCAGGCCAAAAAGAGGACTATTTTGATGTCTTAGGCCTTCCATCCCCATGATGGCATATGGTAGAGACAGTCTGGGAACTCTGAAGAGCTTGGCCCAGGTACTTAATGAGATGTACTGTCCACCTTCCCCTTGGGCTCCCAGATGGATTAAGCCAAAGCCCAGGCTACTACATCAGCTCTTTTTCAGGCTCCTCTTATGCAGGGCTGATGGCTCTGGTCTACCTGCCTTGGGTTAGGACCTTTTAGTTCCCAATTCACCACAACAGCTGAGATACTCCGGCACCCACCTGCTTCTGGACATAAGAAACATAGGGTCCATGGCTGTGGCCTAGCTTACCCATTTTGTGTTTCTGCTCTATTTATGATCTACAGAGATATTCATTGTCTTTTTAATATTCTTTTGCTATATATTCTCCTTAACTGCTCTGTATACGCAGTACAGCAGAGGACAAAATATGAATTTGCAGTGTCATCTTGACTGGATATTTTACAGGGCAGTGCAATGGAATTTTAGCAGAAAGATTCAAATAAAGTGTCAAATGGTCCTTGGTAGAGTAGAAACATTTTTTTTTTTCTAGAAGTGTTGAATTGGAGGTAAATGGAGCATATTCAAGAGGAGGTGAGTTACAGTAGGTTACAAATATAACTATAAAAGATTAGGGCAAGGTCAAAGCTGAACATGTAGCTTTAAGACTTATGGAAATCAAGGAAAAAGAAAAAAACATACTCTTAATAATAAAAACTTTCAAAGGGACACCTACAAACAGAAACAAGGTAAATCATTTAAGTTCTACTTTTGATAATTTTACAGTTCCATTCTTCTTAATGCTGTATTCAGCTTGGGTATCCATTTCTACAATTACAGGACTTTGTGGTACATTGATGATTATTAATTTATTCAACAAATATTAATTATGCTCCTGCTATTCATTGAGTACTCTGCAAAGCCCTGGGGATATACAGATGAATATTAAATGGTTCTTGTCCCCAAGGAATTAAGAATTTAGTAAGGAAATCAACCAACCACACAGACCAAAAAAGTCATCACTCCGTTCTAAGGTAAGTACTATAATGACTATAGGGACAAGTGCTGTAAAGGCATAGATGAGGGAAGATAAGTAATTCTTATTTGGTGCGATTATGTAAAGAGGCAACTCCAAAGGCTTCACAGAAAGGGTAGAATATCGGGAGCTTCCAGAATTTCTGTAAAGGAGTAAAGTGAGGTCTAGAGAAATTAACTTGTGTTTATCAAGCACACCACTTTTACTTAGATTATGGAGTTATTTTGGACAGCTTTGGGGGGCTGACGAAGATTATGGGAGAGTGATGAGCCCCTTCCACTTCTTTCTCACTCACCCACATTTTCCCACATCATTTACTGAGCACATGGGTTCTACTGACCAATGATGAGGAGCTCAAAGTAGAGGTTTCCTTACATGAACAAGTGTGGCAGTATCAGGCAATTTTAGGGAAGAGTAAATAAATTGGCATGGTCAGAATGCAAGATAAATAATAAGTTACTTGGGAATGGACAGAAAGCCTGGGGTGGACTGTGGGGACTCTTGTAAGCTAAAGAGACTGGATTTTTCTTTTGGACGATGAGAGAGACCTTGAATGACAATAATGCTGGAGAATGAGGGAATCCACTTACATTTTTGAAATAGAGACATCTGAGATAATGAAAAGGAGAAGAAAACACTAGAACCAGAGAGATTAATCAGGAAGATGCTGCAAGAGTCCAAGTATGAGATTATGACTGAATTGTCACGGGAATAGGGGAATTAGAAATATCATAAATATATTTTTTATTTGAAAAGCTACAATAGGGCAACGCTTCTATTAATATTTTATTGCACAAGAGAGTTCTCTAGTTGAGATACAACTGTCCTGGAACTTTTGCATTACATTCAATGCTTGAGGGCTATGTTTTTCAGATAATTGGAGTACTGTTTTATCTACTATATCGGTGATGGATAATATCCAAGAGGTATACAGGGTGATTTAGGCATTGAAAAGAATACTTCACTAGATAAGGCCCTAATGTTACCGCTACTGAAAATATGCAAACACTGACACTTTACATAATATATGAAACAAGCAAAAAAAACTTACCAGTTAGAGAAAGAAACAAACTTTCCTCCAAAAAAGAATATGCATTTTAATAAAATGAATCTGAAGCTGATTAAAAACATAGCATCTGGATAAATTCTATGTCTCATGAAAAAGCAGGATTTCTACATTGAATATTTATTGTTTCATTAAAGAATTTAAGATCAATCATAATCTTAAATAATATTTTTTCCAATTCAATAATTGCATGCTAAATGAAAGAGAATAGAGAAGAGCTGGCTAGATACTGCTATCCTATAAACCACCGCACAAACTAATACAAAAGAGTCTTTTCTCTCTTTTTTTTAAAATACAGAGTTATTTCATGAGTTTTATTTTTATTTTTTTGAGACAGAGTTTCCCTCTGTTGCCTGGGCTAGAGTGTCATGGTGTCAGCCTAGTCAGCCTAGCTCACAGCAACCTCAAACTCCTGGGCTCAAGTAATCCTACTGCCTCAGCCTCCCAAGTAGCTGGGACTACAGGCACACACCACCACGCCCAGCTAATTTTTTCTATTTTTAGTAGAGACGGGGTCTCACTCTTGCTCAGGCTGGTCTCAAACTCCTGAGCTCAAGTGATTCTCCTGCCTCAGCCTCCCAGAGTCTACGATTACAGGCATGAGCCACCGCGCCCAGCAAGTTTCTTCTCTTTATGCATCTTCCCTGATAAAGTCCAGGAACTAGAAGGCTTTTATTACATTAGAGTGACATTTTTTAAATGACAATATCTATTGCACCCCTAATAATGTATTAGTAACTATTCTAAGAATGTCTTATATATATATCATTTTGCTTTTAAACTCTGACAAACACTAAAAATGTGCAGAATTCCTCTATGATGGCCATTGATTTGATTTTAGATTTGTAAAAGGTTAGGGAAGAGAAGACTTCTCTTCTTCATTGGCTTAAAGGGGATCCTCCACCCCAGCTCGTAGGATTCTCCCTAATATCCCAGACACTCAGACACCATTTTAGAGAGAGTTTTCTGTATATAGGTGTGTGGTTATTGTTTCAAGTCAAGAAAATTCCTAAGAGACTCTAATCTAACAACAATAATAAAAAGAATCAGATCACAAAAACCTGCACTAAGTATGATTCAAAGGGAAAAAATGAGCTGTAGTGAAAGCCAACTTGAGCTGGAAAGACTTGCACTCTTAAGTAACCAGACATGTGTAGCCACTTATGACGCTGTCTGATTACACATGTTTTTCAACATCTGTCAGCACAATCAGAACACCACATGCAAAATACAGCACTCATGAGCATTGTGGAGGTTTGTTCGACTATGAAGAGGTCTCAGAAGCAGAGAGAAATGAATCGATTTCACAGGTTGCACACAGGTTATTACTGCTTGAGTTGGTGAAAGCTTGGGAGGCAGCTCCCAAAGGCTGTGACTCATTTACTTGGACATCAATATCTTAAGGAAAAAACTCGAATTAGCAATAAAACCTACAGAGCCCTGAAGAAAGAGAGATGTCAGGAAGAATCAAGAAGCAGGAGAAACTGGAGAGCTATCGCTTCCCTTACTGCTTCAGAACTGGAAGCCGAGCCTAACTTCACTCCTTTTGTTTGTTTTTTTTGATAAAAAAGTCAGTGACATTTTCCCACCATTAAAAAGTTCCCATCTCCCAAGGGCAAATAGAGTTCCTTTCAAACCTGCAGCATTTGTTCTTCCTCTGAAGACGTCGTCATAGGCTTTCCACTGTGGCTTCACCTGGTAGGCGTGGATGAACACCACAAACACCACCACGAGGCACATCAAGGGAACAAGAGCTGCAGTGAACAAAGCTGCATAGATGTTTGGGATAAAGCATCTGAAAGAGAGAAGAGAAGAGAGAACTCAGACAACTTCAATGCAAATATTTCTAAATTCAGACTATAGCACATCACCACTTTATGCTAGCTCTTGTATCTAGCTGTTGGCAAAAGCAGATTTTTGGTTTGTCAAATGGAAGCTTTGTTTGAGTAGAAGCTGTATGATTAAATCTAGCCCACTGCTTCGCCAAGTAGGTTCCCTGGAATATTCATTGCTTGGGAAGCTCAGAAAACTTCAAAAAAGCCTATGGCCAGTAAATTGAAGAAATTCACACCATATGCATCTCTTAGAGATTCGGGGTACCTGTCATTTAAAAAGGCTACAGAAAGTCATGGAGTCAATAAATCTGGGCTTTGGAATCAGACTGGCATTGAATCCCAGAAGCACATCTTAAAAATTAGTGACTTTAGGTATATTTCTTAACCTCTCTGAATCTTCCTTCATCTTTAAAGTAAGTATTAATTATAATAGTATCTGAAACAAAAGTTAATTGTGAAGATTAATTGAAATAATTCACATAAATCACCTATTATATTTTGTTTAACCCACCATTTCTAGACATAAATCACGATTGGACCCCTCTCCTCTCCTTTTTCACATCCATACACACAGACGAACAGACACAGGGTCATGCTATAGGACTAACGTTCTCTAGAAC